TGCACAATTGTACTCTAGTCTGGACGCCAAGAGCAAAACACTGCCTCAAAAAAAAAAAAAAAAAAAATCCAAATCCCCCCAGGGAGTGCGGGGTTGGAGAGGAAGACAAGCTTTTGTCAATCATTGAACACCTGAGTGTGAACCATTACTAGGATCAATTCAGAGAGGCTAGCTGGAGAGAAGCACAGCAGTGGCACACAGAACTGCTCAGTATAGAGGCCCAGTAACAGATAGCATAGCTGAAAGAAGCCTGAGAAGTCAAGGATTCCCAAGAACTTTGTGAAGGAAGTGGAGTAAATGACAGTGAGATAAAAAGAGAAAAACAAAATAAGAAGGCACATAAGTCTAGTTTCAGCTGATTTTTTTTTCATTTCACATAGTGGCTCTGATGTTTGGTGAATGTTTGTTACTCTACCTACAAAACATAATGGAAATCTTATCGTCACCTCCACTGCTATAACTTGAGCATAGCCACCATCGTCACTCCCTAGATTGTAGCAATAGACTTCTAAGTTCTCCCAACTTAAACTTTCACCCGCTCATGGTCTATTCTTATTTAGCAGTGAGATAGTTAAGACTGTCACTTATCTATTTGAAACCCTCCAAAGACTTCCCGTCTCACTTAAAGTAAAAATCAAAGACTAAAGAGTGGTCCACAAGACTCTCCTACAGGATCCGACTCCCACCTACATCTCCCTCTGACAACCTCAGCAACCTGTTCCTCACTGCTAGCCTAGAATATGTTCTTTGTACCTGTCAAGCACTCTCTGGCCTCAGAGCATTTTCCTCGCTATACTCTCTTAAGGAGTATCACCTCCTTGGATTTTACCTTCTCAAAGAAACCTATCCCAATACCCCAACGTAACTTGTGACACCATCCCTTCTCTATTTCCCTTGAGAATCAGGGCTATCCATTTCTCCATGACACATATGACCTTCTGACACACACGATAATTTACTTATTTGGAGGGGTTATGGTTGATTGTTTCTCTTCCACCAAAGAATATAAAGTGTCTTTGAACAGGCATCATTGCATATTTTATTTGTTGCAATATCCTCACAGCTTTGAAAAGCACACCTTTTAGGTCATCAATACATATTTATTGAATGAGTGATTTGCTTGAACCCAGATTAACTATTTTAGCTCGTGCAGACACATTCCATATTGCTCATTTTCCAAATTAGATGTGGTTCTGCAGAAATGGAGAAAGTCACATACAGACTGCTGCCACTAAGTTTTCAGTGTGATGTATTTGGGAATGTTTTGATGTCTTAAAGGAAGGAGACTTTTGTGAATAAAACACCAGTTATAAAGTTTTATGAAATATAAAATAGCTCTCATCTTGATCCCTAAATAAGCTATGTGTCCAAATAGCTTTAAGTCCAGGGCAGGCCCATCAATGGAGACTCTTTATAATTGGAACTAATCTTCAGACTATCTTCAGTAAGTGGCAGACTCTATGAGGCTTTGATATAATGCTTATCCCAATTTCCACATGGAGCACCATAATAATTCACTAGGATAAAAATTTAAATTACTTCATAAATGAGGGCAAAACAGACTGGGGACCCAGACACAACTCTGGGTGAATTTTGTAATATCCAGTCTTTTCCAAGGGAAAAAAAAGTCTCAGGCAATATAGATGTTGATCAAAAAGTAGGCCAGGCATGGTGGCTCACACCTGTAATCTCAGCACTTGGGGATGCCAAGGCAGGTGGATCACTTGTGGTCAAAAGTTCAAGACCAGCCTGGCCAACATGGTAAAACCCTGTCTCTACTAAAAATATAAAAATTAGCCAGATGCAATGGCGCACACCTGTAATTCCTGCTACTTGGGAGGCTGAGGCAGGAGAATCTCTTGAACCCAGGAGGCAGAGGTTGCAGTGAGCCAAGACCATACCACTACACTACAGCCTGAGCAACAAACACAGTGGGACCTGTCTCAAAAAAAAAAAAAAAAAAAAAAGGCAGGTTGAGCAGCATTCAGACCCATCCTGTCTAAAGCAATGATTATAATGTGAAATAGTATTTTAAACTACATCCAAATTTAACATATCACAGCGATTATATCACACAAATGCAAGCAGATTCAGAACCTTAAGGTTTTATCTATGAAAAAGAAATATCAAACACACTTTATATCTGAATTTAGCTCAACAGACTATGGTCGATCCATTTTATTTTAATATCAAAGGACAGTAGGGCCCAGACTTCAAACTAATATCCTTCAAGCATTCATGTTTTAATTAGATGCCATCTGTATTCTATGATTCCTATTATTTCAGAATCTGGGAGTGAGTAAAGCTGACCTAAATCTAAAGTTCTTTGATTTCAAAAAGAGCCCTGTGCTCAGCTTAGCACCACACTGGAAGGAGCAAGACAAGAAACAACCCATGAAAGCATATAAATTCTTCGACATCACACAGCTTTTGTCTATTTCTTTCTATCATTCTATAAAATAATGTTACCAATTTAAACACTAGTCAAACATCAAAAGAGATCGGGGTAAGACTTATCTATTCCACATCCATTTTAATACGTTTTTTATACTCAAGATACTATTTCTGAAAATAATAGATTGCAATAAAAAAAGTAGGCCGACTTTCTGATTTTTACCTAAAGAGATAATATAGCAAGATGCAAGGAGGAAATAAACATGAAAAAGAATAGCACTGTCTCATAGTCCATTCTATTCTATTTTTGCAGAAGTTATTATAAATTTTACCCATGATAAGAAGCTTTATTTTTCTGTTCAAAGAAATCGATTGATATTTTTACTGGTAGTTAAATTATAATCATTCTTCTTATTTTCCTGTTCATCAAATTTACCATGCATTTCTTTGAATTTTCTTTACTTGGAAATGTTTTACAAAGTAAAAAGCAAATGCTGAAAATTTTTCAATGTTGGGTGCAAGAAGAAAGCCCAAAAACAATAGGTCTTCAATAAACAGGCCTTTAATGTATCAAAAGCTCTTTGGGGCTCACCCTCTTCCAACTCTCTGACTATATGCAAAACAGGAGAAAGCATAAAGTGCAATGAAACACACACAGAAATGCTTTGAAAAAGTTTTTAGAGTAAAATCACTTTTCACAAAACAAAAAGAATAAGTATATGGCAGCATGGTTTAAAAAATGATAGTTAATGCACTCAGGAAACAGTAACGGTTAGATTATCAGTTAGTTTTAAATACTCTACAAATACATTTTATAATCACATATATGTATTTAAAATATAATAAACAGGTTAATTTACCTCAAATAAGTAGGATTTTCAATTTAGAATCACAGAAAAAGTTAAATTGTATCCATCTCATTTGCTTTGAATGTTTAAAATGTAAGGACTTAATCTCTAATACATTTTGTAAATGAACCCAAAATTATATAAATTGGGAATTCTGGTTATAATTCCTTAATAATGATTTTCTTCATGAGAATTATAAAGTCAGGCTAAATTGCTAACATGAGTTATTTCTTTGTAGCAATAAATCGTGGTAAAAAAGAACATGGCTTCAAGAATCAACAGACTTAATATTATATAAATGTCAGCTCCGTAACAGACCCATGACCTGGACAATTATTCACTGAACTTCAGTTTCTTGGTGTACAAAATAGGGAAAATAGTATTATCAACTTCATATAGTTATAAAACTTAACTGATGTAATCTATTTTAATTAATTTTTCAACTATTTTATATACTAGCATAGTTCCTGACCCACAGAAAGCATTTGATATTGCTGCTATTATTACTATCAGATTATAAGGCCAATCGTCTTATGTCTCCACACACAGCCTTCTGGGATCATCTTCTGTATATTTGGTCAGGTTGTTTTCCATTTCTGAAATGCCAACTTCTTTCCTCTTCATTAAGTTAAATCCTAAATATTTCCGACAGGCCTGACATTTTTTTATAACTTCCCTTACTAATCATGTTCCATCACATTACTCCTGTTATATTGAACTCAGTTGGTGATTATTTATAATCTGACTTACACATTTAATTTTGCCTTATATTGGTTTTCTAGCTGTATTATAGATTTAATAACTGTATATAGCCTCTCTAAATTGTGTATGTTTTTTCTACTGATTAAAATTGAATTGTTCTAAGACAAAAAAAAAAAATCTCTTACTTCCCTTTAAAAGAAACCACACACACTCCAAAGAAAGCTAGTGTAGTGGTATACACATAGTAGGTATTTAATGCATGCTTTTGACTTGAATTGTATTGTGACATCATTTACAAGATAATGAGTGTCACTTTATCCCTTCAACATGACATTCATCATCTGTAAAGTGATAGTGAAACACACTCTCCATGGTATTTCAAAGCTCTAAAACGACATTATTTCAATGTACTGAGCTGAAAATCACCACCCCTTCTTATGCAGGCACTTTAATTGTTTTATTTTATTGATATAACAGCTATCAAATTCTGGGTGTGGGTGATCCACAATCTGAATTACTTGAGAATAGTTGGGAAGCCAGCATGCCTTAGCGTAGAGTTGCCTTCTGCTAGGAGAATGGGCTTGAATATGTCACAGGCCTGGATCTAAGATAATATTCCATTTTATATTAATCCTGTCTACTATTCCATCAATACAGGATATTTGGATGGATGCTAGGGTCCCTGTTAATAAATCATCAGAAACATATCATAGTCCTGAATCTCAACTATTTTCTTTTAATTCTGTCATTAGGGCCAATGGTATAACTCATATTATGCCTGAGGAAAAATAATACTCTTGGAGTCATAGATATAAGACATTAGGCAGAGAAAGAGGATTTTCAAAATCAAATAATTTGACTGAAACACATAATTCTATACAGATTATAATTCATTTACACATTCAAATATACCAAGTCCTGGTACCCTCTTGCACTTTTTCTTCCTTCTTGTAGAGGCACAATTAATACTATAATTATTGATTTCTGCCTTGGGGGGAAAAAAAGATTCTTCCCTGTTTCAAAATAAGCATGCACCATGCAACATGCAAAAAATACCTTTGATTTCTTATTTTCTGGGCCTGTTGACATGGACAATGCACAAGGTGAAATCAGCTCCTCTGTTCTTGTTAGAGATATGGGAAGTGATGGGGTTGAAACAGGTGACCTGTGGTTGGGGGTGCTGCTTTCAGATTTCCCAAGTCTTGAAGGCAGGGTACCACTGCCACAATGTGGATGCAGAGCTGAGGGACTGAGCTGGGGCACCAGGGTGGGCAGATTGGCACGAGGGAGAGAGGAGGACCTCAAGTTGGGAAGAGAGGCAGAGCTAGTACTGGAGATAGGGAGTGAAGGAAGAGCTGAAGGATTCAGCTCCTGGCCAGATAGTTGGGATGATGCTCTTTTAGATCTGTTTATCAGGCTTGAAAGAGCTGGGGAAGGATGGAAACATTTCTCTGAAGAAGAGAACGTAGCTCTTTGATTAATAGTAGGAGATAGAGAAGACAATGCAGAGGAGGCTAATGTAGAAGGGTAGGTGTGAATGTTTCTGGGGTTTTCTGGACCCCTGAGGTCACCATCCTGTTTACTCTTTAAAGAGGAAAGAGAAGAGCTTGGTGGAACAGGAGGAAGACCCACAGAACTTGATGCACTGGTTTGTAGCAGGGAAAGCATGGTATTGTTCTTCAAAGTAGGTGATGGTGTTCTCTCTACATTCATGGAAGCAAGGCTGCTACTAGCCTGTTTTGTAGGAGAGAGGGAGGGCGCCTGAGAAAGTGGGGTAGACTTGGTGAAAACAGGCAGGTGAAAAGATTGCTGGGTCAACTCAGAAACCTGGCATTCCCCTTGATCTGGAGACCCGGCTCTCAGGGAACAACTTGAGAGAGATTTTTTAGGCGTGGGTGGGGTCTGCTTTGCTTTTTGATCAAGTGTGAGCGAGGAAGAGGCCGGGGAGTTGAGAGAGAAGGTGGGACAGGATGCAGGGGAAAAGGGTCTTTGGTGGGAAGGGTTTGACTTGAGAATGGCAGTGAGAAGGGCAAGCCGGGAAGGCACCGGGGATTTTACCCCTGACTTTGAAAGATTTCCACTAGATGACATTTGGCTGCAGATGGTGGAAGAAGAGCCGTGGAAAGAGGAGGTAAATGGTTTGGGGCTCGGAGACAGTGAATGCGTGACAATGCGGACTGGTATGTACAAGGCTGAATTCGACTTCAGAGAAGCACTGGAGGACGATGGAGGAGAAGAGGTTCTCGGACTTTCTCCGCGACTAAGGACATGCGAGGTTAAACTTGTCTTCTTGAGAACTTCAGAGGTCAGTCCAGGCTTTGGATCTGCCGCAGTTGAACTGGGTAAGTTAGAACCTGATAGTTGAGTGGAATGGGGAAACAGTAACGTCGAGGAGGTGCCCTTCGATGCAGAAAAGGGTGTAGAGTGAGCGGTAGTTTGAAAATACGTAGCTGATTCTTCCACCACGGCCCCACCGACATCCAGCCTCCTAGTGTGGAACTCCTCTAGGACAGAGGCTCCCTCGAGGTGAACTGGGTCGGGTGGTGCGTTCGGATTAGTTGGAGAAACAAAGGAGAAAGCAGGTGGTTTACAGGCAAGCTGCTCAGAGGTAGTGGAAGAAGAAGTTAACTAGAGGAAAGAGAAATAGACAGATTGAAATGGGACATTATTTCTGAAACGATCAAAATATTCTTGTCACTTGTGCGATTATGCAAACAATTTACACAAAAGGAGGCAACTTAAACCTCCATAAAAACGAAGGAAATTCTGTTTTGCTAATGAGGCCTTGCTCTGAATTTGAAATAAGATACAAATAAGCTGTGAAGTATTACATCCTATACCTCATTTATCCCACAGAATGAAATCAATATAAAATTATATTGCATAGTTGGAAGATAATTCATCGACATCATCTAAAATAGTTATCTTAATTTTGAGTTGTGTGATTTGGAAAGATTTAAATCACCATCAGTATAAATTGCAAATTTCACTTTGGAAAACTATTTTCTTCTATTGTAAGAATATAAAGCATGATATTATAATAACGACTACAAGCCTTAAAAAAATTTTAACACACTCCAAGGGTTTAAAATTCTAAGTTTCTACTACTTAACTCCTACATGCTGTGAACTTGGAAAAGTGCCTAGAATTCAAAAGATGAAACCCCCAATATCAACACAGAATGATAAATTGAGGGATTGAAAGCAAAGTCCAAATTAGACAGGAAGTTTTAGCTTATTTTTCCTAATTATTTGCCAGAATGAATATTTACCATGAACACACAATGAATATTTAACAAATGATTTGGGTTATGCTGGAAGAAATAGGCTCTCTTGCATCAAAAGAAGCCAGAACACTTTACAAATATAATCCACTTGAATCAAGGAAACCCACCAATCCAAATAAAGAGGAAATAAAGAAACCAAATAAAGAGGAAATAAAGAACAATTCATCATTTTACAAGAGAAGCTAGGGAGAGCCTGTGAAACAACTGGATGTAGGTAGCCTTGTGCCATTTTAAAAATCATCTAGTACTTTAAGATAAGTACTGAAGTTATAAATACTTTGAACACCTTTTAAACAGAGGTTTCCCTTAAAAGTCATTGATTTGATTATGTGAATATATAAAAGAAATATAAACATGCATGTCTAATAAAGAATTTAGGGAATATCAATCATTTAAAATATCAATAAATATTAAGATTAACATATAGATGTTGCATTAAGCACATAGCAGGAAAATGTATATAAATATAACAATCAAACTTAGCAAAATCTTTACAAATAAAGTAAAAGATATTTATTGATTTTGCTTATAACATTTTCAGATTTCCATCAGACCTAATGCAGAGGTTTTCATGTCATATAGTTTTAATCTCTAAAAAATTTAAAACTGGCAAATTTAAACAACTCATCCCAAACTTCCAAGTTTCTAAGTAAACATACCCAAAATAGTCCTTTCTTTTATACATAAATTTATATGTATCTTTGCAACATGGAAGAATACAAACATTTCTTGCTACATAAATAATACCTGAATATTTTAGCATAACCCAGAACATGAGAAAATCAGATATAATTGAAAGTCAAGCAGAATTGAATCAAGTGGAGGAAGAAAACTTAGCAATTCACTCTTGTAAGTTTTACTTAGAAACAACTCTGCTTAGCCAATGTTTATGTAACTGATTCATGTGGTTAGAGATATATTTAAATCCAAACACTGCTAGCTGGGCAGCTGAATGTTTCTGTCACTACAAGCATGACAATGTCTTATCTGGAGTTATGCAATCATTTGTAGTTAAATATGTAATTAATGTTTAAGAAATTGTTCTCTTAGGGTAAATAGTATATTCAGATTTTTTTTTAACCACAAATGAAAAGTCTTCTCTAATTGCTTCCTATGATTGATCTCTCCTATTGAAAAGAATATAGAAACATTTCTAGACTGTGTAGTGTGTCTTTGCATGTTGTACTATGCCTAGAATAGCTGTTTGGTAAAGAATTCTGTAAATTAATAATGGCAGTCACAAAACTCTCATTACCTTTTCAGTTCTGCTGTTTCCAAATAACTTTAATGTATATGACAAACTCAATTATTTACCCTGATTATTCACCAAATTATCACTATGCTAAGACCATAGAGCTGTAATCGTTAGGGTCTCATTCAGAGGAAAAGATTAACCTCTCCAACTTCCTCAAAACTATGGCTTCTAATGACCAAACATTCTACTCCATTAATTAATATTTTACCCAATATAAGTATTTCAGAATTTTATTATACTTTCTAACATATTTAAAACATTGATTTTTGAGGAACTTCTAAGAGAAAGGTTCTGAAAAGTCTAAAGATGTTTACTATGTTTATATTAATCTGCACATAATTTTTATTATATTTTCTTACTTAATATATTAATAAGTATATGCAACATACTCATTTCTAACTTGCAAATATACCACGATATTATCTTAATTTGTACTAATATAAAAATGTGACACCATATTTTCTAAAATTCTCAGGAGTGAAGGATTCATTTTTTAATAAAAAGATTGATTTTTTTTGAATTTCCCTAATTAATAAATTTTTAAAAAGAGGAAATAAAGGCATGAAAATATGTATGCAGAAAGAAAAAATGGGCACCTGTCAAATTCTCAGTCAGTAGCTCAGAATTAGTCCTTCATTTTACCTCTTCCTGTAAATCCCTTTATTAGTGATCCCAAATTTCCCTATTGGCATCTATTTAATACAAATTATTTCCATCTCTTCTTCCTCTACCATTCATAACCCTCTATGTTGTTCTCAAGGTTTGTTACTGATACTCTAACTCCTTCTCCCTCAAGGCTATTCTAGGTCTTCTTTACCATTTATTTCTTACCTCATCTTTATTGATTTCTTTGCTTTAAACACCTCTCTAGACCTACCAAGGACCATGTTTTCCAATCCCCAGAATTATGCTGGTTCCTTGAGCCCCCCTTGACATACACTCTCTCAAAAGTCATTTTCAAAACTCTCTTCTCCTAGAAAGGCTATCTGGAACTCTGGAAAACATTCACAACAATCTCACTAACAGAAGATGCAATGTGCTCCTATCATTAGGTAAGTAGATGATCCTAATCATAAATTCACCCTCAGATCCTATATAATAGAGACCATCAATTATTTTAATAACCAATCTCTATTGTAGAACTGCCTTGTATTTTTACTGCCTGTAAATCTAAAATAAACTGCTCCTGTGTATATTCAGTTTTCCCTGATGTTTCTATGATATTTCAAAGCATTTGAATAAAAAGTGAAGTGACTGATCTGCTACCTAGTATCCTGAATACTTTCTGAGATTCTGACAGCACCAGATGTGGATCACATATAGCTGTGCTCTTCCTCCTAAATCTGTACAGCTACATGAGGCAGAAACCCCAGATTCTCCCTTGTCGTCACATACCAATCGTCATATTATGGCAGCTTGGCTTCCTAAACTTACCTATTATTGATTTGTCCCCTTCTCTCTGATGAATGCTTGTAATGCTACAGGGCACATTCTCAGCCTTTCTTACCTGAACACATTAAATAATCTTTTCTGGTGTTCTTACTTCTAGTTCACCCTATTTAACCCATCACCAGATTGAACTTTTAAAATCTGATCACCTATGCTCAAGACCTCATCATTGTTTTCTTTGTGTCTACCATGAACTAAAGATATTTCCTTCATGACAAAGCCCCTCTCTTGCTATCCAGTCTCATGCCCCTCATCCCCTATTTTTTAAGTTTCAGTAATACTTTGTTCAATCTCAACCTTCTTGCCAGCATTGCCAGCATTCTAGCTATTGTGGTTTCTTGCCAATCCTCTCTTGCCAATCAACTTGGCAAACCTTTATTCTTAGACCAATCCCAGCAACTGCCATTATGTTCCTAGACCTAGTCTACTAGAAGTTGCTATAAGAAAAAGAAAATTGATACCAGTTGTTAATTGGCAGGACCACGGCACCTGTTTTTCAAACTGCATCCGTACAAGGGCAGCAGCCCCAGCCAAGTGGGTCTGGTTTCCCCTGTACTGAATTTCCCTGCAGAAGGGGAGGCTTTCTCAATTCACATATGGGCTGGGTGAGTCACTGTAGATTGGTTAAAGCATGGGTTCGATGTCTGTAGTCTCATCCCGGCCCTGCATCTCTCCATTTTTTGGTTAGTTGATTTGTGTTTTCTTTTTTGTTGTTATTGTTTGGACCTTGGCTTCCTCTACTGTTCTGATGAACAGTTTTCCAAAAACAACGTTCTCCACAAACCCTTAACCTACTGTTTCTCCCATTATGCTCAACAGATGGCCTAGATTTCTTTACTCCAAGGAAAACTGAGATTACCAGGAAAGCGAATTTTGGTCGTATCACCTTCATTCCCTTTCCCTCATTCTAAGGAAAGATGAATGAAAAACCTTTCGCTTTTTAAAAGGTGAATTCTCCTTGTGTACTCTGAATCACAGCAGCTCTTGCCCCCTTAGAAATCTTATTTCATCAGTTATTCCTCATATCCTAAGTACTTATTCTTTTTAATTTTTTCCTAGCTCCCTGATCCTAACATAGATATAAAACAGAAATTCTCTCAATCTTTTAAAAACCGTGATAATAAATATCATTGTGGTGAATAGTAAAAGTACCCACAATTCTCTGTTCTTTTCCATTCATTCCATCATAAACACAAAGTCTTTCATTACACCTTTTAATCTGGATAGCCAAATGACTTGTTTTGGCCCATACGATATTATCAAATGTAATACAAGAAGCAGTAGCTTGAAAAACACTTGTGCATTGAGCCTTACTGGCTTGTTGAGTGCAGAACATTGCCATAATATGAATGAGCTCAGGCTAGTTTACTGGAAGATATAAGACCACATCTCAGCAGACAACTACTCAGCCACCAGACAGCTAACCAGCCACCAGCTAACCCCACAGCCAATCACTGACATGGGTAGGTCACAGCAAAGATTAACTGAATCTAGCCCATATCTGCAGAACCACCTAGCTGAAAACAGCCCAAATGATTGACCAAGAAATTTTTGATCTAAATAAAATATTGTGTTTTAAAACGCTAAATGTTGGCATGGTTTGTTAAGCAATGAAAGCTAACTGACAAAAACAAATAT